GCAGGAGAGATTGTGAGACTCCTATCTCCAATAAACCGCTAGAAAACCGGAAGTGGCGCTGTAGCTCAAGTGGTAGAGCGCTGGCCTTGAGCTGAAGAGCTGAGGGACAGCGCCCAGGCCCAGATTTCAAGCCCCATGACCGACAAAAATTAAAAATAAAAAAATTTCATTACAAAGCTTATCAAACCTGCCAGAAACAAAAACATATTTAGCTGACACCAGAAGTGGAATCACTGTGCTGAGGGAGGGGTTTGTGTGTTTTTTGTTTGTTCAATGCTGATACTGGGGCTTGAACTCAGGGGTCAGGTGCATCCCTTAGCTTTTTCTGCTCAAGGGTAGATCTCTATCACTTGAGCCACAGCTCCATTTCCAGCCTTTTGGTGGTTGATTGGAGATGAGTCTCACAGACTTTCTGCCTGGGCTGGCTTTGAACCTCAATCCTCAGATCTCCTGAGTAGATAGGATCGCAGGTGTGAGGCACTGATGTCCAGCTGTGATCAGAGTTTTATTTTTATTTTTATGAACAATGGGGAGATTAAAGCCAGGCCCTCTGAAGTTAAGGCTCTATTGATGACCTGACCAATGTCAGTATCCTTCTTGACCAATGTCAGTATCCTTCTTGGAGTGTTTCCAGGGCATTGTTCAATCAGTTGTAGGAAAGACCAGGATTGGGGATTTTATGGGAAGCATAATTTCTGTTTGTTTTTTTTGGGGGGTCTGGTTGTGGGGCCTGAAGTCTGGGCCTGGGCGCTGTCCCCCAGCTCTTTAGACTCAAGGCTAGAGCTCTACCACTTGAGCCACAGCGCCACTTCCAGCTTTTTTCTGTTTGCTTATGTGATATTGAGGAATCGAACCCAGGGCCTCAGGCATGCAAGGCAAGCGCTCTACCACTGAGCCATCTTCCCAGCCCCAAGGGAAGCATAATTTCTGGCAAGAAAAACAGACTCAAGGTTGGAGGCCAGCCTGTAATAACCGGTAGAAGAGGAGACAAGGAAAATGTCCAGTGGGTAAGGGGAGGCCATGTCGCAGAGATCCTAGAATTATATATTTCAAGGCAGACAGGTTGTTCATGGAGAGGGGGAAAAAGGAGCGTGGGCAGGCCTTACGATTCTATGGGGAAGAATCGGAGGCAGGACTGACAGAACAGGACTTGGAAAAGCTGCTAGAGGGCCATAGAACCAATTAAGAACGTCAGAGGAGAGGTCTCCGAAAGCGGATAAAGGAGATGGTCCGCGGCTGAGGGTTACAAGTGTCAGCCGCCGGGCATAAAGAACCAGGGGGCGTGTCTCAGGAGGGGGAGATGGCCACTGAGAAGCAGTCGTGGGCGTGGCGCTGTCAAACTTCAGGGGGCGGGGCCGAGGGAAACAGTGGCGGGGGGGGGGGGGATGTGAAGCCCCAAACAGAGCCAATGAGAAGCCACCGGGGTAGGCGTGGCTTTCCCCCCTCTCTCCTTGCAGAGCCTCAACACTTGGAAGTCATCCCTGCTGGACCTGGAGACACTGAGCCTACAAAGCAGAGCAGCCAGACTGCTCAAACGCAGGTGCCCACCTCCCACCCCATCAACCTTCCCATTGCGTCTAGCCACAGCCTAGTCCAACTGCTTCTAAGAGCTCTGCCTTCTCCCTACAGCAAGGCCTCCATCTCCTCCTCCTTCAGCCCCAGTGAAGCCAGCAGCTCCTCCTTCCCTGTCAGCTCCGATGGCTTCCCTCCTCTCCCCATGACTTTCACCCCTGACTCCAGCAAGGACTCTGGCCCCAAAGCACCTGGTAAGTGCTGGGAATCCAGAAGGGAGAACAGCATGAATTTGAATCTCCTCTCCACCATTTACCAGCTGGGTACCTTGGAATATCATGGGGGCCTGTCTCCCCTGCTGTAAAAGAGGAGTGCTAGCTGGATTCTACAGGTCTTGTGAGAGTAAAATGAATTCATGACAGGTGGAGAACACTTTGGTTCAGCTGTCTACGGCTAGCATGTATATGAGAGGCCTAGCACTTTTTGTGATTCCAGACAGGTGAATTGCAGTATTGGTGTTTGAACTCCAAGCCTTGTGCTTGTTAGGCAGAGGCTTTTATTGCTGCCTCTAGTCCTTGCTGGTCATGTCATCTTGAACAAAGTCTGAAAATGCTTTTTGAAATTTGGCATCCAATTTATTTAAAAGCAAATTTTGATTATGAGATTGTTTATAATCTATCTTGAATTTATTTAGGTTGAATATCCCCTGCCTCCTTTTTTTTGGCTCGTACTAAGGCTTGAACTCAGGGCCCCACACTGGCTTGGCCTGTAGCCTGATATTTTGCTAGTTAATTGGAGATAAGAGTTTTAAGGACATTTGGCTTCAAATCACAATCCTTCAGATCTCAGCCTTCTGAGTCACTATAGAATCTTTATGGCCCAGGCTAGCCTGACCTTTGAAGTCATCCTACCTCAGCCTGGAATTACAGGTATATGCCACTATGCTTGGCTAGGCTTCTAAATTTTACCATGAAGGAGATACAATTAGGGAAGGATTCCTGCCAAGAAGCCCTGACTACTCAGGTGTCCACAGGCTCTCTGTGCCTATGAATGGGCAAGCAAGGAGAGTAGGAATCCAGCAAGAAGCCTGTTGTGGTAGTAGTACAGGTGGGGTGAGTGGGGCTGGACCACGGGGAGGGCAGTGACAGGAGCAGGAGAATGGACAGATTTAGAAGAATTTGGCCTCTTCACTACTGAAACCCCAATGTCCAGAACACACATGCATGGCACATAACAAGAGTTCCATAAATATTAGTTGGCTGAATGAACTGAAAGATAGGTTGAGCTGGGTACCAGTGGCTCACACTTGTAATCCTAGCTACTCAGGAGGTTGAGATCGGAGGATCACAGTTCAACACCAGCCTGGGTAGGAAAAGCCCATGAGACTCTTATCTCCAACTAAGCAGCAAAATGCTGGAAGTGGAACTGTGGCTCAAATGGTAGTGTGCCACTTTGAGCAAAAAAGCTAAGAGACAGCACCCAGGCCCTGTGTTCAAGCCTCAGGACTGGTACCACATACACACAACTCTATTGGCAGGTTGAAAACCTGTGGAGTGTCTGTCCTCTGACTCTTCCCCCCTCCCCCCTCCCTCTCTGGCAGGGAGTTGGGCATCACCTGAGCAGCCTTGTCTCTGGCACAGCTGAGGGAGGTGAGCAGCCTGCTGACACACTGGCTCCTTTCCTACCCTCACCCTTCTACTTCTCTCAACACCAGCTCCAGCCGCTGCCTCAGCCACCGCCTCTCCCTCCTCCTCCCGGGCACCCCTGCGACCTGAGGATGACATTTTGTATCAGTGGAGGCAACGTCGGAAACGCGAACAGGCTCAAGGAGGCCAGGGCGATGGAACATGGGTGCAGCCCCAGCCCGCAGCCCCTACCGCTCTGGTGAGTTGGGAGAGGGCAAGGCCAGAGGGGACTGGAGGAAGGAGGATCCCCAGGGGAACTCCCCTGTCTTCCTCTCCCTCTCACAGCCTTCCTTCTGTTTGTCCACAGGCCTCTCCTGCCCCTCAGACCTCCTTTAATTCTGTGGGGACCCAGTCCAGCTGTGCTCCACCGTGGGCCAGTCTGGCTCAGGCTGGTCCCCCTGAGACCTATATAGAGAGACCTTTTGTGCCACCCGGGGCCTCTCCACACGTCCTCTGGGCCTCCAGCCCCCATGGCTTCATCTGGGCCCCACAGCCCAGTTCTTGGGTAACTTTAGGGACAGTTCCTCCCACGCTGCTGTCCTCCACTCCATCTCCCCTAGCCTCTACCCTAGTGCTGCCAGTCTCCAACCCAGCTCATCCAGCCTCCACCCCGGCTCCCCCAGCCCCCATCCCAGATCCCTCAGCCTCCACCCCAAATTCCCAGCCCTCCATCCGTGGGCCCCCTGCTACCCACCAGGGCCCTCATACCCCAGAACAAAGCAGCCCTGCTCAGCCCCAGAAGCTGAGTCCCGAGCCTTTGAGGACCAGAGCTCCCCGTCAAGAGGCTGCTGGGGGCATCAAGACAACGGATGAGGGACCTGGCCCGCAGCTCAGGGGGGCCCTGGGCCAGGTAGTGACCGCTCGGCTGTTCCCCAACAGCCCGGGGGAGGACACGCCTCCATCGAAGGCCGAATCTGTGATTCGCAAGACTAGACCTTCCCAAGCCAAAGTCAAGCCCCCTGGACAAGAGGCCACGCCCTCTCCGCTTGACTCCCGAGCCAGATCAGAGGGGGATGCCCAGAGAGCCAAGGCCACGCCCCCCTGCGGAGGGCCGGAGCTCCGGGCAGGTAAAGCCACGCCCTCAGCGGAAGCTGCGGACCAGCCTGCCCCGACCTCCGCGGAGGCCTTCAAGGCGGGGACTCGGGGACCCGTTGCCACGCCTCCCGGTGGCCACACCCCCTCGGAGGAGTTACTATTACAGGCCGCCCAACTTTTGCAGGCTGCAGAAGGTGAGCTGGTTGCTCACCTCCGGGATTTGGGTGGGGATCCAGCCCACCCCCTGAAGTCTCACGCTTTCCGCCCCCCTGCCCCTCAGACTCCGACGGCAGCGAGTTTCAGGAGGACCCTGTGCTGCAAGTGCTGAGAGCTCAGAGGGCAGAGCTGCGACAGCAGAAAAGGTGACCCTCATCACCAGGCTAGGTGTTCTCCGATTGGGTGTCCGACCCTGCTTTGAGCCCCTTTCCCAGACCCCATTTACAACCCAAGACCTGAATCCTGAGCACAAACCCTAGTCTCTCCTTCCCCCACTATTCTCCAGGAAAGTGGAAGCTCAAATATCCCTCCTGGTGTGCCACACTGAAGACCCAAGGCCTTGGTCTCCTCCAGCCATATCACCAAGAAGGAGGTCCCCAAGGAGGCTGCGGAGGGAAGGAGCCTCCTTCGAGGCCAGACGACTTTGAATTGTATATATTCTCTTTTGCCCAATGAAACATTTTTTTCTCAAGTCAATCTCTAAGAAATGGATTTTGTGGAAAGGCCCAAGGGTTGTGCTAGCTTAAGGAATTGTGTTGATGCTGTCACCTCCTTTTCTTCCTATTCCTTTTTTTTTTTTTGGGTCCAGTCGTGGGGCCTGAACTCTGGGCCTGGGCGCTGTCCCTCAGCTC